TAGTTTCGATTAGGGTTTAGATTTAGCTACCGGTCCTTGCGTTCGACCCCGTGTTACGACGATCCGTATCCTTGCGGTGAGTTGTGTTGGTTTAGTGCTCTATGATGTACTGTTATGCGAGCTTTACTTAGATACATTTGATGTATTGACACTTTCTATAGTTTATGGATGAGTGTTTGATTCATTACGTATTGTGCATGCTTTAATATGTTATGAAATCCATGTATTGTTATGAACAATACTAAACTCCCTAGTCATGTATCATTGTGAGAATAATGATATAACAAGACTAGTATGATGTGTGATTGATGATCATATAGATGATCATAGGTATTGGATACGATCACAGTCATATGTATTCGTTGGAGAACGGAATACTGGATTGACCCGCATGAGATTGTCACATGGACTAGCGCCATGACTTGAATCTCATATGACGGTTCCATGATTGGATCCTAAGACCTGAGATATCTACGGAATCCAACATGAGGAGTTGCGTGCTTTGATTACGTCAAACGTCCTGCGTAACAGGAGGACTATAAAGGCGTGTATCAGGTACGAAACGAATCATGTGTTGGATTGTAGATAGTCAAGACGAGATTTGTACCTCTCGTAAAAGAGAGAGATATCGCTGGGCCCCCTCGTGTGAGCGAGACTGTAGAAATGTGTGGCCGCACTATAGACGAACGTCGTCTATTTCAGACAGTCGAACTCAGTGAACGAGAAAGCAGTCGAATCAGATAAGGTGGCTTGTCCATGCCTTATATTCGACATATGATATCATGATACAAAAGGATCATCAACCGGAATCATCACTGGTGTTCTTAAGATCACGAACAAACTCTATTCGAGATAGATAGTCATAGTGTCTTGCTAGAGACCGCCTATGACTTGTATATCCGGAATAGAGATTTCGGGTTATACTGCTATATAGGATGAGCCTACAGGGTCACACACACAGGAAAGGACAAATGCGCGAGAAGAGACGAGAATATCCCGGTGGAGCGGAGGCCAGACCGGCCGGTCTAGACCGATTGGTCTAGCCAACCCAGACCGATCGGTCCAGACACGTGGACCGGTCGGTCCAGAGGTAACGTGTGACAGTCACACGGTCTGAAAGTGTTCCAGACCGATCGGTCCGGACCTATGGACCGATCGGTCCAGACGTAAAAAGCTCCAGACCGATCGGTCCAGACGTCGAAATTTTCTAAACTCGCTCTAATTAGGGTTTTAAGTGGAATTAACTTTGAGGAACGCCTCCCAACTCTCTTGGCACGATTTTCAGACCTTATTGAGAGGTTTTGAGAGTGAAAAATTAACTTTGAGGAACGCCTCCCAATTTTGTTTTACATCCGCTGCATAAACCCTAGAACTGATCTCTTAGGAATTAGATTCGCTCTTGAGATCCCAGAAAAAGCCAACAAGTTGTGAATCGGGTTATAAATTCTAGACTCGGTACACACGTATCAAGTTTTTGGCGCCGTTGCTGGGGACTGGTTAGCATATTTCTAGGTCTTTATTGATTCTAGATCTTTGCTTGTTTTCTTTTTCATTTTGTTTTTCTTTGGTTTTTGTGGATTCACTTGGTCTCGAGTTCTTCTTTTTCTTTGCGATTTGCAGGGTTCTAGTGCATGACAAGGAGCTCTACTCGGAGAGAAGACCTAATCTACGATCCGGAGATTGAGCGTACTTTGGCAGACATCCGAAATCAGCAGAGAAGAGAAGCTATGTCGAGGTCAAGTAGTTCGCACGACCGACAACAAGAGCACATGAATCCGCTCTACGATCAGCAGACCGAGGGTGAAGTTACTTACGTTGAGAGAAGACTTTGGGTTCTTACATTGCACCGAAGCACACCCAACTCCTATCATGCATCAACAGACCGCCCATAGACAGTTTCGATCTACCGCCATAGTGCATCACGATGTTTAGTCAGGCAAGTTTCAGAGGGCGGCCTACGGAGGATCCCATTGCTCACTTGACTCAGTTCAAGATGTTGTGCAGATCAGTTAGGAAAGCACGAGGAATGACCATCGAGGATGTATACTTGGAGGCCTTTCCTTTTTCACTAATGGATCGGGCAAGAGATTGGTTCTACACCCTTGAGCCGAACTCGATTACGACATGGGAGGAGCTAGATGAGCAGTTCATGGCGAAATATTATTCCCCAGAGAAGACCCGAACTGCATAGAGAGTCATATATAGCTTCACTCAGGAGAGTGATGAGAGTCTATATGATGCATGGGAAAGATTCAAAGGCTATCAACGCCTTTGTCCACACCACGGCATGGATAAGCATCTATTGCTATCCACATTCATCGACGGACTACGACATGATACCAGAGCTTGGATGGATGCAGCCTGTGGAGGGAGCGTTTATGAGATTCCATTTGACACCCTAGAGATTCAGATTGCGAAGATGGCCAAGGCTAGAGGGATGTCCAGCGATAGCAATAGCCGGCCCATGGCTCGGATAGATACAGGAGAATCCGCAGTTTTGAAAGCTGTCATGTCTGAGCTAGCAGTTATCAAGCTCCATTTGGAAGCTAAGAGTAGTTCGAATTAGACACCACCAGAGCTAGAGGAAGCAGTGGAGGACGTCAATTATGTCGAGAAAAAACATCTAGGTTTCTCCTACGGAAACTCGAGCGGAACATTGAATGCACAGCAGTAGGACGTTTCCAGAATCCCTTAGAATCCCCCGGGCTTTACTCAGTCACATTTTCAGGGGCAGAATAAGGGATATGCGTAGCAGAATCCAAGATACGGACAACAAAATCAGGGTTACCGAGCATCTCAACCTGCGAAGAACGATGAAGTGGACATCAAGACGATGCTTGCCCAGCTAATGCTCGATCAAAAGACATCATTTACTAAACTGAAGATGACCGAGATACAAAGCATAAAATTCAGACAAGACATTTTTGAGAGGAGATTAGATGGAGTTGAGGCTCATCTGAAGCATGTGGACATGCAGATTGCACAGCTTGCATCACAACCCTCTAGACAGCAGGGCACATTTCCTGGAAAGCCCGAACCAAATCCACGAGAACATGTCAATGCCATTCAGCTTATAAGTGGAGAGAGTCTGCTTGAGACGGTCCCTATTACTACCACAGAAAAAGGGACGACGTCTAGATACACTGCTGAAGAGAAAGGGAAAGCCATAGTTCACGAGACACCTAAGGTGCATGTAGAGGAACCCGACCCGCCATATGTAGCTCCTCCACCTTATGTACCACCTGTTCCTTTCCCTTCTCGATTGAAGAAACATACTAAAGATACACAGTTGTCTAGATTTATTGATATGCTTCGGAAGTTAGAGGTTAAGATGCCTTTCTATGAGACGATACTCTAGATCCCTTCTTATGCAAAATTTTTGAAAGATATCTTGACTAAGAAGAGGGTGATTGGGAAGGAGACAGTATCCTTGAGCATAGAGGTGAGCGTTGCGATTCTACAGCATGAGTTGCCACGGAAGAGATCGGATCCACGTAGTTTCTCGATTCCTTGCAAAATCGGGAACATTGAGATTGACCGTGCATTGTGCGATTTGGGTGCCAGTGTGAGCTTGCTTCCGTTGTCCATCTACAAGAAGCTCAACATTGGAGATCTGAAGCCGACGAGGATGGCACTACAACTTGCAGATAGATCCGTCAGGTATCCTGCAGGTATTCTCGAGGACGTCCCATTGAAAGTCGGGGATTATTATGTTCCCGTTGATTTTGTTGTCTTAGACATGGACGAGGACTCGAAGATACCGATTATACTAGGCCGACCGTTCTTAAACACGGCCGATGCGGTGGTTCATGTTCGTGCTGGTCGTCTTACGATGAAGATAGGTGACGAGACTGTAGAGTTCATCTTAGATCACAACATGAAGCAGCCATCCACCACCGATTTAGCATGCTATGTCGATGTGCATGAAATCCTCACTCAAGAAGTCTTCGATCAGTTTCGGGAAGTCGATCCTTTAGAGATATCTCTCCTTGCATCAAATGAGAGCATATACAGTAATTGGGAGGATATCCGGGAGCTTACGCGAGCATTGAACGAAGGATCGGACGAAATTGGAGTTTTACAGAAGATGGATCCGGACCGATTCCACTGGAAACAGACCGGATCCAAACATAGCTTCCGAAGACGGATTTTTACAGAAATGGACCGGATCCAAACACAGTCTTGCGAAGACAAACTGGAAACGGACCGATTCCACCTGGAATCGGACCGGACCCACTCTCTGAGCAAATCTGACGTTTTTCACATCGACATGCCCGATTCTTCTACGAACATTTCCAAACCCTCCATGACGATTACTAAAGACGTTCTAGAGACCAGAGAGCCATCACCTAGCACGAGGACGCTGAATAAAGCGGATTGGAGTCTAGAGAATGCCCCGAAAGTGAAATTGAAGCCCTTACCTCAAAGGCTTAGGACAAAGGAACACACATACACGGATAGGAACACAGGACCAGCATTGGAGAGAGGTACATATTCCGCTCATAATTCTATATCCGTATTTGAACCTTCCATTATAGGTTGTCGAGTAAGGGAAATGAGCAAGAGAGGATCGAAACGAGCAAAATCATCGCTCAAATGTCCACAAGATCCACCTCCTTCACAAGTTTGGACACCCAAGGAGGATAGACGGCTCAAGCATCCACGAGGTCCAAAAGATGCACTTAGCGCTCAACATCCAGGGTGGCGAAAGATCGATTATCTTCGCCTTTTAGACCCTCCCATCATTTGAGCAAGATAGGTCGAGCTAATGACGTTAAACAAGCGCTTCTCGGGAGACAACTCGAGCATTAGGTAACTTTTCTTTTTCTTTTTCTTTGTAGCGTAGGTAGTAGAGACCATGATTGTATTTTGGATCTTTTAGAATGCATTGCTATTATTATGCTTTTGTTCGGATAATGTTTGTTGTTCTATGAGTGTTTACACCGGCACATGAGAGATGAGCATTGACTTCCGAGAGAAAACGTTGGATAGGTTCCAATTCACAGAGTGTGTGAGAACTCAAAATGTCCATACCATGTACGGAAAGTCGTCTTCTGTACATCCTCGGCTTCCACACAGATCTGGTGGTATCCCGAACGTAAATCAATCTTCGAGAACCATTGTGCACCCTGCAACTGATCAAGTAACTCATCAATCCTCGGCAATGGATACCAATTCTTAATGGTTACCTGATTAAGTCCTCGATAGTCGATGCACAATCGCATGCTACCGTCCTTCTTTTTGACGAATAATACGGGCGCTCCCCAAGGTGGAAAACTCGGCTGAATGAATCCTTTCTCCATCAATTCATTCAACTGCTTCTTCAATTTCGCCATCTCCGTAGGAGCCATCCGGTACGGGGTCTTAGATACCGGTTCCGTACCTGGAACAACATCAATACAGAAGTCTACATCTCTCTCCGGTGGCAACCCTGGCAATTCCTCCGGAAAGACATCGGGAAATTCCCGAACCACAGGCGTCTCATCTAATCTCACTTCAGACTCCTTCGTGGCAGTCACCACCATGAGGAATGCCTCATTCCCCTTCTTGATCATCCGGCTGGCCCGGAATGCTGATACCATCGGGAAAGGATTCCGTGCGCTGTCCCCCAGAAACTCAAACTTCCCTACCACATCAGTAAACTGAATAATCCGTCGACGACAGTCGATGTGTGCCTGATGCACGGTCAACCAATCCATTCCCAATATCAAATCATACCCCTGAATAGGTACTATAATCAGGTCAGCTAAGAGATTCCTCCCATAGATTACTAGAGGGATCCCGCGTAGTACACCCGTCACTGGCAGAATTTCGCCCGAGGGAGTATACACTCTATACCTCTCAGCCGTATCAACATCCATCACATCCAAGATTTCTACCATGCTTAAGCTTAGGAAGCTATGTGTAGCTCATGTATCAAACAAAACGTGGCATGCAGTGCTATGAAGGTATATGATACCTGTGATGGTAGTAGCGTCCAACTGCTCTAGGTCACCCTCGACAACAGCATCAATGGTGACCGTCTCCTGAGCAAAATAAGTCTCGTCTCCCTGGACTTCTTCCTCCGCAGCAAGCGTATATACTCGTGGTGTTACGCCCCCTCTACGTGGTGGTTGAGGGCGTGGAGGTCTGGCTCCCTGCTGACTGGAAGCGGCTCCAGTACACTGGTTAGCGAAGTGGCTAGGTTGACCACAATGATAACAAGTATACCCTGTGCAGCATGGTCCAACATGATCCCACCTGCATCATGGGCAAGATCTGCGCGGTCTTGGTAGTGCTGGCGGTAGTGGAGCCGTAGGACGAAATGCTGGTGCTTTCCCCTTATCACGGGCTGGCTCACCTGTCTGGAACTGGAGGAAGGGCGAGTAAAGGTAATCCGCCTCAGAGGGCTCCTCTCTCGGTCCCTCGCCTCTTGTTGCTCCTCCTATTCCCTCCTCTCCAACTTCTGCAGCTGGGTCATATACCTACTCAGAGTAGGGTACTCCTGGATCAAAATCCGTCTCCTCAGGTATGGCCTCAATCCAGTCACGAACTTCTGGATCATCACCTTCTCCGTCGGCACCAGATGCGACCCATATCGCAGCAGACGGGTAAACTCTGCCTCATAAGCAGCCAAGGTATGATCACCCTGCTCCAAGTGAAGAAACTCCACTATCCGGTGATCCTGATCTCCCTTCTGGCAGTACTTCTCCTCGAACTGCGCCTTGAACTCCTCCCAGGTGAACTGGTGATCAGGTGCAGCTTCACGAACTGCTTCCTCCCACCAGTGCAGAGCCTCTCCAAACAGATGGTGGCTCGCAATCTCTGCTCGGTACTGCAGCGGACATCTGACATAATCCAGATCCCTGGAGATGCAGATCAGCCAATCCTCTGCAATCTCGGGTCTCTGAGTCCCCTCAAACCTTGGTGTACCCATCATCTGAAGCTCGCTATCAAAGGAAGGTAGTCCACCGCAACAGGGGCTGGGAACCCTTGTGGTCCCGGTGGAGGTGGGGGTGGAACACCCTCTGGTCTAGCTCTAGCTGGAAAGGCATGTTGGCCCGGAAATGATACCACATTGCATCAAAGAACTGCTGCTGGAACTCCTGTGGTGCGTGTGCGGGTGGAGGGGTTTCCTCCCTAGCCGGCGCACGGGCAGCTCTACGCGTCTCAGGGGCATCGGTACACTGCAGACAAGGGAGAAAATCTCAGTTCTGGTGACTTCAGGATCATGTGTGAACATTTTTAAATCCCTTTTTCAAAAATCGTTTTGAAATCATAAAACAAGCTTTTGTGGGTCTCAAGCAATTCCTTCTCATGGAAAGAACTGCTCTGATACCACAAGCTGTGACGTCCGTAACCCGTGTCTCGCCCACGAGTTGCGCCACATGGACGATCAAACCATATACCAAGATAGCGGGAATTTTAAAACATTTTATTTTTATACATACGCAGTGGAAATAAGTTTATGTTGAACAAACCCACGTACAGTAGTAAACACACCAACATAAAGACGGTGAACCCGATATAATACAAAGTCCAATCACCGTCAACAACAAAACATCGCAAATCCAAGAAAGAGAAAAGTACATGATCCAGAATCTCCTCACACGTCACCGGTGCCCTCGTCCTGCCGCTGCCAAAACTGCTCCAAGCCTGAAACGTTGCGTAACAACGTCTATAAGCTACATGCTTAGTGAGTACTTCGGGTTAAATCCGAATATCATACTCAAATTGCAAATGGCCAAGCACAGCCAATATTATACACACACTAGATATAGGTGTATAATATATATACATATTGCATGCTCTAAAACAAAGTCCACTCAATCGCACGAGTAATCGTTTATCAATCACACTCAGTCCGAATGACAAGTCATCGGACACAACCGTCAAATCCTCTCTATGTACATCACACACATAGGACACCCCATGGTTCTGGTAACACCACTCCAGGACACATGTACCAGTCATAGCTCGATCCATTGGGTCTATCAATAACATCAGTGTCGTCAAATCGTCTCCATGTGTGCATCACACCCGTGGGTAAGGACTCTCCATGTGCAACGCACATTCCCCTCTCTCCTCGGCCGAAGCCAGAATAGTAAAACACATTAACTCTGTGCCCAACACCTCATAAACAATATCACACCAACCATCCCCTCTGATATCGATGTCACCTCTCGATACCAGAGCGCTAGATGCCTCCTCTAGCCACCACTGACTATGTCGAGCGAAGTCAGCACATAACTGACGACCTCTCACCGGCCATCCGCTACGGAAAACTCATCGGACCCGAGCTCAAGCCCTTCAAAGTCTTTTCGCACAACGTCGGGAGAATCACTCAATCCCGAGTCACGGGTAAATGTATTGCCAGTCTCTGCCGGGAGAATCACTCAATCCCGATCCCGCTCCATAGCTAGTGGAATGTTGGCGCGGTTACAGCGTAACCGTAGGATTTCCTCAACCCCGTGATAGCCGAATCGCTCAAGACTATCACGTGTATCATCGGCTCCAAGCTCTGCCCGTAGGCCATCAATCACAAACATGCCTCCTCAAGATGAAACCCGACCCGGGTCAGAGATCATAAAGAGGAGATCTCATACAAGGCAATCATCGTAATATCACCACAACCCAACTACAATCACATGCTCAACATTATCCAGGCCCTCCGGAGTAAGGTCTCACGCCATGTCAACTACCCGGTTCCACAATCACAAGCATTCATACGATAATATACGTTAATCATATATACACATGCCTTTACTCAGGGTTTCGGTACTTCCTTTCGTTATTATTCATTTCATATCTTTTACCCATTTGGTTCGATCGCATTGGATTCCGGCCATCCCGGATTACCAATTCAACTCGTCCCGAAGTTATGCTTACCGTGATGAGGGTTCGTCGATGTTTCGGTCAAATTTAGGGTTCGGAAAGTCGTAGACCGTCCGGTCTTGGGTCTGGACCGGCATGTGTAGTTCGGTAGCCTAGGCCGATCGGTCTAGGGTTCCAGACCGGTCGGTCTAGGTTAACAGGCCGGTCTGCACTTAGACCGCGTTGACCCGGTGACCATGCCTAGACTGATCGGTCTAGGACATCAGAATCTCCAGACTGATCGGTCTGGAGGTCGTCTTCCTCCTCAATCTTTCTGCAGCCCTAGACCGGACGGTCCCAACCTGGACCGGTCGGTCTAGGCGAACCAGAAATTTTCGGGTTTCGTATTTTCGCACCAGATTCAACACGCTATAACTCAAAATGATCCTAGCAACATCAGAAACTCAAATCTAACATTAATTTCATGCAATTTTCACCCAAAACACAGAAATCTCCATTTTCAATTTGATTATCATATTCGGGCTTAATCCAAAACACTCACCTAGCTCAAATTCGAGCTTGGGGTTTTGTTGGGGAGGTCCTCTAGTGTTGATTTCTGTGATTATTGATCGATTTTGACCGAAATCGAAGCTCCAATCGAAGTTCAAAGTTTCAAGTTTTCGGGAGGAAGTTTGAGAGTGTGAGAGAACGAGTGAGGGGCGAATGGACTGATTTTGGGCGAGCTTGGGGTGTGATTCTGCATCTCCATGGAAGCAGGAGGCGTCACACGCCGGAGAGGCCACGAAATGACGGCCGTGACAGCCAAAATCGGCTGAGTTTTTCGATCTGATCTCACCCCGTCGGACCGGTCGGTCTGGATGTGCAGACCGGTCGGTCTGGCCAATTCCCGTTTCTCTTTTTCTACCTGTTTCCTCGCTCATTCGGTCCAATCCTTCGGTTAAACTTGGGGTAGGTTCGGGACATATTATAGGATCATTTTTAGGTTTATTTAGAGTTTTATAAAGTTCGTTACGGATAACGAATTCACGGGTTATCACAACATGGATCATCCATGCTTTTCCTGAAATTTAATCTTTGTATGTGTTCAAATCTCAGATTCCATCACCTAGGGGACTACTTTAATCCATACAAGGACCTTCTCAACAAACAGACTTGTTCTTCTTTTCCTTTTTTGACGGAACCTTCAGATTGCTCCATGTAAATTTTCTCCTCCAATATGTCATGCAAGAAGGCAGTCTTCACATCCATCTGGTCTAGCTCAAGGTTTTGATTTACCACAATTGACAGCAACACACTGATTGACACATTTTTAATTATAGGCGAGAAAATCTCAGTATAATCTGTATCTTCTACTTATGAGAAACCTTTTGCTATTAAGCGAGCCTTGAATCTCGGTAGTTCTACTCCAGGAATTCCTACCTTTAGTTTGTACACCCATTTGCAGCCTTTCACCTTCTTATCTTTTGGTCGATCAACTAGAATCCAGGTCTCATTCTTCTTAAGTGAGTCCATTTCCTCTATCATTGCTTTATGTCAAAACGACCAGTCACGATGTTTCTCTACTTCAAGATACGTTTGTGGCTCTGATAACACTTGTACTTCCTGAATTCGGCGATTGTCCAATTACCGGTTTAGTTCTTGCGAATTCTATCACCGATAATTCGTCTTCCTCGTTGAATCCTCTCAAAGTCTATTACCGAAAGAAAACAGACAATGCAAGAATGTAAAGACACAAGGGATTATGAGTTCAGTACAGTCGGTGTGATCGTGCCTACGTCTCAGGAGAGAGAGGTTTGTTTATTAGATGATCTCGGGTTTTTGGATACAAGAGAACACCAAAGGAAATTTCAGAAAGATAACAATGGCGGAACTGGATTCTAGGCTCTGTTCTTTATTTAACTCAACAACTAACTCCTTGGGAGATTTCCACTTTGCCCTTTTTTCCGTTAGTGTCACTTGAACCTTCTGAATAAACCAGAGTCTTCAACTCGTTTGTTTACTCAGGTAGCTTTCAACAATATTCTTGATCTCTCCTCCCCATTCCACTCTCGTCACGGTGTCCTTCAAGTACGGAAACATTGAGTTCGGCCAATACCAGTCTTATTGATTATTGGTTAGGAGCCACCAATTCTTACTTCCTAGAGCCTACCACGCATCAAGCCCTTAGTTTTTCAATGTATGATGTACAATATGAAGGAATTCGACACAAGATTAGGTGACTCAACCGGTATAAAAAGATGCAAAGTTCCTTCCCAACCCGGGTTCGAGACATCTTGGGAATTTGCATTCACCTGAACTTCTTCGATTCTCTGAAAGACGTAGTTGGACCGAAAGTCCATTGAATTTATGGATCATAAAAAAATAAAGGAATTCAGATTTTCCGTCTTTTGATTATACCTTCCTTATAAGAAAGATGGTTTTATATTCCGGACCGTGAATTGTTGAATAGTGGTCGCACCAATACTGGTCTTGCTGCTGGTTTGGACAAAGCCTGGATAGATAAGGTCATAGCAGCTTGTTTGGTCGTACCCCATCAATCTGTTTTGTTGAGTTTCCAAATCATCATGGTACACGAGGATATGTCTTAATAGCTAGGCCATATACTAATATGGAAAATGACGAAATATTAGATGAAACTTACAGTCCAATAAACAAAGAGTCAGGGGTTATTGTCACCATACAATCATATGCATATAAATTATTGATATATGTAGAGATATATTGCGAATGATTGATGATTTGTTACTTCAAATTAATCAATATTCTTCAACCATTAATACTAGAAAAAAAATAGAGGAAATTTGAGCAAATGTATAAATTTCAGAGATTGAAAACATATTTTTTTTCTGTGTTTTGCAAACTATACCTTTATATGAAATCAAAGCAAAAAAAACAATGAACTTACAAATTTTGATAATAAAAAAAATCTAAACTTTTTATTTTATCAAATACATATTAAACTTTTTAATTTTGACAAAATAAACATTTAACTCTTCTATAATTGTCAAAATAAATAAAATGATGATTTGGCACAATGAGATGCAAACACGTCATATAATTTTTTAGATCACTAAAAAAGTTTAATGTTTTTTTATAATCACATAAAAGTTCATGTATTTTTTGGATCACTACAAAAGTTTAATGTTTTTTTTATATTATTATTTAATGTCCAAAAAAATATGTAGGATGGAACCGACTTTAGAAGAATGAATATGTTCTGCAAGATGAAATTGTTTTCGGCCGAGAACATTGTAGGATGAAACTGTTTCATCCGAAAGAATTTGTTTTTATCCTAAAGCACTGCAGGATGAAACAATGAAGAATCTGGTTTTGTTTGGCTGTACTTTACGATGAAACAGTTTCATTCGGGAGCTTTGTAAAATTAATTTGTTTCGTCCTACAGAGTTTATTTCTATCTTAGAGATTCTCCAAGACTAAACTGTTTATGTCAAGAGTGCATATTTCATCCTGAAATCTCTCTGGAAAAAAAAAATTATAAGGGTATTTTTGGTATTAATTAAAATCAAACATATTATGCAATTGCAAACAACAAATATTTTTTGATACAGTTTACAAACACGCTGTACTGTTTGGTTACTTTACCAATTGCCACAAAAAATATACAATCACGTTAAAAAAAAAATGAATGGTTTTTTTTGTAAGATGAATGGTTTTTTTGGGACACTGTCACAAGAAAACACGCAATTGGCGGCGCTAAAGGTGACGCAATTTTAGTGTCACCAGATTTGATAACGTAAATATCACGTAGCGATGGCGATAATTCTGTATCATTATTTTTGGTTGATGTTGTAATGACAAAATTCTATTCATCATTATTTTGGTGACGAAATATTTCATCACCATTTTTGCAGGGCATATTTCGTCACTGTGTAATTTAGTGACGTAATTTCGTCATTATTTTTTCTAGGAAAAATCCTAAAAAAATATTGAACTTTCAAATTTTGACCAAAAAAAAATACTGAACTTTTTATTTTATCAAATAAATATTAAACTTTTTAAGTTTGACAAAATAAATACTTAACTCTTCTACAATTATCAAAATAAATAAAATGAATGACACAATAAGATGCAAACACGTCAGATTAATTTACTTAGTTTTTTTTTTACAATCAAAAAAGTTCATATATTTTTTTGAATCATTAAAAAAGTTTAGTATTTTTTTTATAATCGCAAAAAAGTTCATGTATTTTTGGATTATTTAAAAAGTTCATTGTTTTTTTATATTCGCTTTAAAAAGTTTAATGTTTAATTTGACAAAAAAATAAAATTCAGTATTTTTTTGTCAAAATTGCAAAGTTCATTATTTTTTTTTAGATTTTCCCTTTTTGCTTTAACTATGTGTATGATATCTCGAACTATGATGAGGGTTGAGAATATTTGTCGGTGCAGATGACACAGAGAATGAGAGAGATCTGATAACTGTATAGGTATAAGTATGAGACTATATTGTATAAGATAACATAAAAGAATTAGTTGGAATACTCATAACAAAATGGTGCAAGCTACCTTTTCGATTGTCTATTCCGAGAGAACTCTAAAGTTAAACGTGTTGATTGTGGAATAATCTAGGAATGAGTGACCTATTGAAAAGTGTCTCGCTATGTGTGAGAGTGGGGACAAAACACGTTGGAAGATCTTGTGGTGTTGTGTGAAGATAGTTTCAAAATTTCGTAGAAGTATGTCCCTCCTTATTCACATCTCACACTCACCAAAATCATTTTAAAAAAGAAGGACATAATGTTTCATGAATCTTACGAATGTTGAAACTGTCACACCACCAATACGAGAAAGATTGGTTAGTTTTATGAAATTTGCAACAATTCAACATATATTATACACGTATATTAAAGGTATAAGAACGAGGAATAAGAAGTTATAGAGGTGGTCATACCATTAAAAAAAAAAAAACTCTATCTGCTATTGCTATTCTCCACATGGTGTTGGATTAAGTGACTCCTTAAACTGCATTCTTCGATCTGCAGAAGAGGATAGATCATTTCAGAACTCTAGAGTCCATGCATAGGCAGATGTAAACTCTCGTGTGTGTATGTGTGTGTCTATATGTGTGTGTGTGTATATATATTGGGTTTTGTACCTGTAAAGATTGTGTCTTCAGAAGCGATACTCTGCATTCTTCTACCGATGCTCTCTCTATTCCCGTCACTCTTGCTAATTCCGACATCAAAACCTCCATCTCTTCTGCCTGCAAGTGTGCAGCAAATGAGTTGTTGTCTCCGTTAATGAAGACTGTTTTTTTCCATTACATCACTTTGAAAAATTTGCAGACCTTTGGCATGAAGCTTCTGACATGATGTTCAATGCTTTGCATCATCTTTGTAGCCACTGCAATGGCATCTCCAAGCTTTTCTGTGTCGACCTGCAAGTGTATATATATAATATATACATTTTCGATGCTTTCGGGTCTAAGGGATTAACAATTGGAGAGTTCTACGACTAATAAATATATAATCGACATGATGAACATACTCTACCTTGACATTCCCGATGAGAGGGAGCCGTAGTGAAGCATTCAACAAAGCTTCGATCACTTCCGAGAGAGATGTCGAATATTCCTCTTCCATGACAGACCATTTCTCCAAACACGGTGTCTGCATATTTTTTTTTTTTACAAAATTTCAACAACACAAGGTTTTAAAGATGAATCTCCCGAAATGCTTAGCTGATTATCCAAAGATCCAACCAAGAAAAGGAAGGAAAAACAATACAAAAGAAGGCAGATCGAACCGATACTATTAACACGGTGGCTCGATGCTGCAGATGTTCATGGACCTGGAGAATATGTAAGGGCTAAGATACAAGGAGCTTACTTGAGATTCTACCATTGATAAAAGCGCGTTAACTCTCGACAATCTCTGAAGCTCCACGCGTTTCTTCCCCACCGAATCGTATAATTCTGACATCCTCAAACCAAGTGAATAAAGCATCCTCTGCAAGAGAAACATCATCTTAACACAAAGTATGCCTTCAAAAATGGATATTTTTCAGTTCATTTCATCAGCATCTCTCCAAACATTTGATGACAAACAACCAATGATCCAATCCTATCAACATTAATGCAAACCCAGATGGCCAAATCATCGTATTCACCAACGGCTACATTTAAGTTCCAGTACTTTCAATTCATTGCCTATGGCACTAACCTCTGCCTGCGCCTTTTGAGCTTGCATTTTGACTTCAGCCTTTGCATTAGAAAACCTCCACTGCAAGTAACGGTTGTGGAGTAATTTCAGAGAGTGCAATTCCTCTAAGTGCCCTGAAACCTTCCTCGGCTTCTTAGTCTCATCTTGGAGCTTCGAATTGGGAGGCACCGGAGGCAACATCAAGCCTGCACCTTTCTTGTCTCTGAAGGGAGATGAATCGTCGCAACTAGATAAAGGTGAACTCAGAGATCGATAGAGAGGCGATTCATTCGAGTTGATTGAGAACTTTGTGCGGATTCTGCAAGAAAGTGTTGGAAAAAGATCAGACGAATCTGTAGCAGAAGAAGGGTTAGAGTTTTCCCCGTTTCCGTCTATCTCATTGGCTGGCAAAGATAGACCGCTCGATTTCAGAAGTCTCGTCGCCGCAGAGTTCGTGAGAAGACGCTGTTGGCTGAGCCGCGATCTCGACGGTGGAACCACAATTGTCGTGGGAGTGTCGAGCCGGTGACCATTCTCCTTGAGCGGCTTCACTTGATTCTGCTTCGATGTTTTTCCTCCGTCGGGTCCATGTTGTTGGGAGTGCAGCAGCGGGAACGGCGAGTCGAGGCTACGCGCAGTCTCTGCCGAGCGATTCTCATCGCCTTCGCCCATTTTCAACTGTCGCCTCAGTCTCTGAGCCGAAACCGACCGCTGGTTCTGGTGGTTGTGATGTCTCGGAGAATTCGAAGTCAACAGATGGAGATCGCCCGCGGAGAAAGATGAAGAGGAAGATACCGGAGACATGAATCGCGAACTGATCTCCCTCACCCTCGGCCGCCTCTTCGAAGGCGGTGGAGCCGGAGCCGCCGCCGGAACCGTGGACGTCGATGGATGCTGTGTCATGGATCCGTCCCTTATTGCCTCCATTGGAATCGAATTTCTTCAGAATCTCTTCCCGACTCTACAAAATCTCCGAAGAATCCAGAAGAGATCAATTGCCGGAGATTCCTCCCGATCTGATTTGGTTCAAATCGGATCGAAGAGTATTTGGAACTTTAACAGAGAGAGAGAGACGCTTCAGAAAACTAGCCGTTGGGGTATGGTCACAAGTGCAACGGTCATCTGTCCTTGAAACGGTAGGTTTAACAAAGGAAATTACTTGAATGGAAATTGAATCAATCAACCAAAAACTGAAGACCGGCCCATGAAAGTGTCGTTGGGCCCAATCTGTAGGCCCAATAATGAGAGTTGAAAATATACACACATGAGGGTCTTTTCTATAAATATAGAAGTTTACAGAGGCAGGTTTGCAAAATTGGAAAAGTCTCGAGGGTTTTCCGTAGTTTTACGGCACATAACTTCAATTTCGTGAATAGGCAACGAAGCAAGCATCGGAAGCAGACTGAAAAGGTAAAGGAAGACTTTCGTCTTCTTCGCGTCGTCTGCGATCTTCGTCCATTTTCCGCTGTTTCTTATTCTAGTGTCTGTATCGAAGCTAGGAATCGGTAGATATGGCGAGCGAAAACCCTGATGTTGTAGCTCCTATGGAGACCTCCAGTGGAAAAGAGGAACAATTGGCTTCAGAGCTGTCGAAGAATCTGGGCATTGCGGATGGAAATGGAGATGTAGAGGAGAAAGAAGAAGAAGAGGGGAGCAAAGGTAAGGCCTTGGCTTCTGATTAGTCTGGGTTTGATTGATCATGTAGTTTGAGTGTTCGTATCTGATTTGTTCTGAATGTGTTATACCTTGAAGGTGTTAGAAATCTTTGAAGAAGGGAAAATATATAAATTTTGGGTGTATTCGATTGTTAGCTGATGGAAATTTGGCCAAATGAATTCCTATTCCTAGCATTCGATTACCTCTCTAGACATGGGTTTTCGGCCAAGCCAGCAGCTTGCTAGATGTTTCGAGTTCTTGAATCTGGTGTCTTGATGGGCTGATCAATTATTTTCCCTTGTTTTTAGCTGAGGCTTCAACCAAGAAGAAGAAGAAGAAAAGTAAAAGCAAGTGAGAAGCTTTTTGCGTTTTTGCCTTTTAGCTTTTAAGTTTTGTCCCCTTGTCTGTGTTAATGGTGTTCCTTGAAGGATTGGTCATTCTTGATATTATTATTATCTGGAAATGCAGGAAAAAGAAGGAACCCCCTCAACAGACGGATCCACCTTCAATTCCTGTTGTTGATCTTTTCCCATCTGGGGAATTTCCCGAAGGTGAAATCCAACAGTATAAAGATGAGTGAGTTCACAAACTTTCACTTCCTGTCTGTGATCTATCTATTTTACCTTTGTAGGTTTTCTTCTCAACTTTACATTTTATGGCATATGTACATTTTGCAGTCAAATCCGCATTTTCTCAAATTTCATGGTAGCTTAATCATGGACTGGTCCAGTGTGAGAAAGTAATGTGTCTCAGTGTAGGCAGGGACTATGGTTCATGTCTTGTCATTTGCTGGATCTATCAGTTTTCAATCTCGGCTGTTACTTTTATCGTTGCTGGCTGAAACCATTTGTCGTGTCGTGTAGCAATCTATGGAGAACAACATCTGAAGAGAAAAGAGAAGTGGAGCGTCTTCAAAAGCCTATATATAACTCTGTTCGCCAGGCAGCAGAAGTCCATCGTCAGGTCGCCACTTCTATACGTTTGGATAAGCAGTTTGTGTATTTGTATTTAGGAAATGATATTTGATTTATTACTGTTGGCTGCTCAATTGTTATTATCGGCTGAAACTTTCAGGTACGGAAATACATCAGAAGCATTTTGAAGCCAGGAATGTTGATGACCGATATCTGTGAGACCCTCGAGAACACAGTTCGTAAGTTGATATCAGAGAATGGCCTGCAAGCCGGTATTGCATTTCCGACAGGATGCTCTTTGAATTGGTTTGTTCTAACCGTTCCTTCATGTCTTTCATGATCCGTTTTCTTCTTGTTTCATCATCTAAAATGACTTTAACAACCTTCAGGGTTGCTGCTCACTGGACACCAAACTCCGGAGATAAGACTGTTCTTCAGTACGATGATGTAATGAAATTGGATTTTGGAACACATATCGACGGTAAATATTTTGTTGCATTTGTTAATCATGGTTTCTCAGTCTCAAATCTTTTCATCTCCCAAAAGCAATTTTATCAGAGAAATATAATTTCGGGTTGCAGGGTACATTGTCGACTGCGCATTTACAGTTGCATTCAATCCTATGTTTGATCCTCTTTTAGCTGCCTCGCGTGAAGCGACTTATACCGGTATCAAGGTGCTGATTCTATTACCAATAAGATCCAAGAAGTGGTTTCTAGATGTACAACTTTCAAAGTAGGATTGATTATATATTATCTCTGTTTTTGCAGAAAATTATTTGCCTAAGCTCAATGTTCAGACTGTGAAATATAGTGATTTCGCCATGACTTGTGATAATCTTGAACTGATTTATTTTTATTTTATATATGTACAGGAAGCAGGGATCGATGTCCGTCTCTGTGACGTTGGTGCTGCGATTCAGGAGGTCATGGAATCATACGAGGTTGAAATCAACGGAAAGGTGTACCAAGGTAGATATTTCTGATTTTTTTATATAGTTTCCCCCTCTTTTTTCTGCGTTCAGAATCCTTAATGGTGGTTTAATTCGGTTCTAGTCTGGTCGTGATTACGTAATGTGAACTACTCCGAGTTGTGGTGGTTATGATCTTTGATGTGATATCAGAAACAATAACTTTGCTACTTCTTTTCCGGCAGTTAAAAGTATCCGAAACCTGAACGGGCACAGCATTGGACGATATCAGATACACGCCGGAAAATCTGTTCCTATCGTCAAAGGTGGCGAGCAGACAAAGATGGAGGAGGGCGAATTTTACGCGATCGAAACTTTTGGATCAACGGGTAAGAGCCTTTTTTTCCCGGGCCAATTGACCGATCACAATTGCGTTCTGTGAAGCATTTCCCCGTTTCCATAGCCGGGATCCATAACCCGGGCAATGTCATTGCATCATTGCAGGCAAAGGATACGTGAGGGAAGACCTTGAATGCAGCCATTACATGAAGAACTTCGATGTGGGTCATGTCCCGTTGAGGCTGCCAAGAGCGAAGCAGCTACTCGCCACCATTAACAAGAATTTCTCGACTCTCGCATTCTGCAGACGTTATCTCGACCGCTTGGGCGAAACCAAATACTTGATGGCTTTGAAGAATCTATGCGACTCCGGCGTTGTTCAGGTAAGTAAAAGAAAACCGAAAACTGATCATCGATCGGTCCATGCACTTTTTTCCTTCGCTTCCTCGCGTCAAGCCTAAGGGAAAATCTCGTATAAATACTCCAATTTCCGCCGTGGAATAATTATGGGTGTGTGCGGTGGTTCTGTTTCAGCCATACCCTCCGCTGTGCGACGTGAAGGGGAGCTACGTGTCGCAGTTCGAGCACACTATTTTACTGCGGCCAACTTGCAAGGAGGTTGTTTCAAAGGGCGACGACTACTGACTGGTTTTTCTTCGGCGAGTTCCTCTTAGCGTTGCGTCCCCTTTTATAAAGAAAAAGTTCACTCCTTTGTATCCCCCGTCCCCGGGAAACAATGACCCTATAGATTTTGATGGCTTTCCCGTTCGGTTTATTCGGTTACAGTTATTTCGGATCTCGGTGTTTTAATGAAATAGTTATCCATCAATAATCAAATCTAGATTACATTCGTTCAATTATGGTTTTGAAAATTTATATATGTTCAATTTGATTATAAAAGTAAACGAACAACTTCATTATGTAATTTCTATTTAGCTGTAGCATATATGGATTAATACAATACACGCGTGATTGCGGTTTAAATTTATTTTTTGATTATTTCAGGTTTTGAGAATTCATAATCAGTAATTTAATTTTAATCGCTTTAATTTAATTTTAAAATAACCAAACTGTTTCCATTTACAACTAATCAGAGAAGCCAATTCGGATGTTTAGCCTTTTGGTGTAAAACGCTGTATTGTGTCGAACGAATTGCTTTATATATATAAAAAAAAAAAAGGAAGTTTATTGAAAATCAATGTGATGCTCTGATATAACAAGAAGAAGACACAAAACCCCAAATGTATTCGAAGGTACAAAACCCAATTCACGAAAGCAGCGTACGGAAACTGAATGTTCTCTCTATAACTTAGAAACTGTCTATCGGGCAATCAGACATCGGCAAAGACAGCGAATATGTCGCCATGGATGTAGTCATTGTCCACCAAGCTTACCAAATAGTAGCTGTTCTTCACCTGCACCGTTCATCCGTCACCCATCATTAACCACCGTTCCGTTCCCCGAGGACCAAATCAATCTAATAACCAGGGAGATCGAAACAATAAAAAGGCGGCTTATGTTGCGAAAAAACTCACCTCCTCGAGCAACTTTCTGGAGGGATCGTCTTCTGGGTACAAGCTAGCCCAGCTTCTCGACCATGTTTCAAAAGCTTCATCCTTCCAGATTTTGAAGCTGGCAGGATCAACGATGGTCGGCTGGATGATCTCCTTAGCTGGGAAGACTCCCCAAGTGACGGCATTAATGTCAGATTGCCCGATGTTTGAAACCCAGTTCCCGTCTTTGCTCGTCGCCATGTAGGTGATAGATGGGTACCCTTTGCATTTCTCTACCAATGTGTTTAACTTATCCTTTGAACAGAAGAATTCTAGGTATGCCTTCTGGTAGACGTATCCACCAGGACCACCCCATCCTATTGAGTTTTCATGAGATTAATGTGTTATATTAAGCCATGGACCAAGTGCTTGTACATATATATATACAAGCATAAGAACAGAGAAATATGGTTCGACAAGATATGTTTAGGAATAACATGCAGGGAGAGGAACACTATTTACGAGAGAACAAGGTTCCGATTTCTTACCAACAGTCGGGGAATCGGATTTCTCTCCATTGATAGACGGTTGGCTGTTGATTGTCAAGAAGCCCTTGGAGTTGAGTTTTCCCAGCTGCTCGTTTATGATCTTTGTCTCTGGCTGGAGCCCGTCCAATTCAGACCAGGGATTGCTTCTTAAGCTTCCCAGGCAGAACTCCTTGAATTTCTGATTTTTTTGACAAGTTTCAGAAGTATTTATAAGCAATCCCAACTCAATTAGGTTTCAAATGTGTGTAAGGAAAACGACGTTTACTCAAGCTAATGAAGTAAAAAATACCTCCAGAATATCTTCGATACTTTTCAGAGGGACAACCCATTCCTGGTGAAGCCTCTTGTCACGAGCTCGAGGGCGCATGAACTGTCAATACAAACTTTAAGGGTCAGCACTTATCATTCCCTGTGATGAGCACTCATGAGAGTAAATCCGATTAAAGGAAAAAGGATTTAGTGGCAAGCAAACACGAAGCTTTGCCATCATGGTAGGCTGAAGCCAAATTAACAGAACAATGAAACCCCCTTGGAACTTGCGCTAGGGAAATTCCAGAGTAGAACACACACAAATCTTACGGAATACATAAGTACCTGATAATCTGAGAGAGTCCCATAAGATGCACTACGGGAATCACCCCACCGACCATGTGGGAAGTCATCCCAGCCCATGGTTCTAGATATGTAACTCTTAGGGCGGTTTGCCCTGCACAGGTTAGAGTAACACAAATCACTTCAACACTGTGTAAAAGAAAATTGGAAGATCTTTGGAAAATCAGACTGTAAGGAGTAAATGCAAGTTACCAGAATATTGGACGAACATCTTCCTTAGTACGGAAAACATTTGCAGGACGTCTCCAAGGTAAGGTGCGAGAAATTTTGGATTCATCGATCAAACCAAGATTCTGCAACATCAACACAATTTCAGTTAGGCATCCCAGTGTCCAGAATGCTCTTGCACACATTTTAAACAACAAAGAGGATTACAACAAGTCACGGAGAGCAAACCATTAATATCCCAAGAGCTGACTTCTCCATGTTCAATGTGTAGAGATGAAGAGTCTTAATCCCATGAGCCAGAACCTTCTTACACATTTCTGTACCAAGGTGGACACCATAGGATCTCACTGCTTCCTCATTATCCTTGATAGGTTCTAAGGCTGCAGTGATCTCAGCTGGTATCTGTGACACAAAATTGATAAGGCACAGTTCAAGCATTGCCCTTTAACAAGCTAATGATCATAATTAATGGTCTCGATGTCAGCATAATATTGGCTGAGAAACTATGAAACCACTTCTAGTCGCTTAATCTAACCCTCAAAGCTTAAGCTTTGCCAACATAAACCTTTCTAGACTCTAGAGGCACTAACTTAACCAGGAAAGCTAGTATCATCAGCGACAATATCTTCTAGAAAGGTTTGCTCATCTGGTGAAACCAACAGAGAGCATCATACAAACAAACAGGCGATCTCGAAAGGAATGAACTGATTTTCGACCGAGAGAGATCACAACCTGCAACATACCTTGGTCTTGCAGAAACCGGTCATTCGGATGAAGCCCTTGTAGTTGTTAATGGGCATGATTCCAGGAACAATGGGGCAATTTATCCCAATTTGCCGACAGTCACTCACAAATTTAAGGAAGATATCAGTATCATAGAAAAGCTGAGTGACAATCAGATCAGCTCCTGCATCAACCTGTTCCACGAGACGAGACAACCAAAGCAATCAGCTCAAGACGATCCAATATAAAAACACGAAGTGCAGAAAGAGTAACAAAGAATCTGACCTTTCTCTTCAGGTAAGCAAGATCGCTCTGATAAGCCTCAGCAGAAGCAAGGCCATCAGGTCCGATAACATCGGGATGCGCCTCTGATTCAAACACAACCCATCAATCGGACCACAACAACACCGACATCAACAGACAACACTAGGAAGTGGAAAATGCCGAGAACGTACCAGGATACCCAGCAACGGTGATGCCAAAGTAATCGCCATACTTGTTGCGAATGTGCTTCACCAGATCCAGAGCGCAAGCAAATCCGCCTTCGACCTGGACGAACTTATCCTGGCCGTGAGGGGGATCTCCCCTGAGAGCCAACACGTTCTGGATACCGTTGGATCTGATGGTCTCGAGGGCGTGGTCGATCTTCTCGACGGGCATGTTGGTGCAGGTGAGATGCATCATGGTCTCGACGCAGACGACGTTCTGCATCTTGTTGGCGATGTCGAGGGTGAGATCGGCGGTGGATCCGCCAGCTCCCCAGGTGATGTCGCAGAAGGTTGGTCCGTAAGCGACCATACGATCCATCCTCTCGAAGAGGTTGTCGACTCCATCCTCCGTCTTGGGCGGGAAAAACTCGAAGGAGAAGGCCGTCTTGCCTTCCTCCGCCAGCGACTGAATCTTCTCGATCACCTTCATTTTCTTCCGTCAAATGGAGCTCAGAATCTCAACTCTCGTCCAGATTCGAAATGGATACGGAGGAAGACAGAGGAAGAGGAATTAGCGGAGACAAGTTATAGCTATCTCTCTCTCTCTCTCTAGATGGAAAGTGATCCAAGAAGTTAGGTAATTCTCGGCCCAATCCGCAGATAATATAATCCATTTCTTGGAGAAATTACATTTTCATTTTTTTAACCGAAAAAAATATAAATTTCGGAATTTAAACCCCATTCCTATGCACAAATATATGTCAAATTAAAATCATCATTCTTGTTAACTTATAAGCCTGTAATTTATATAGAACTTACATAACATAAAAGTGAAGAAGGCAATTCTTGAAATGAAACGCTCTAAGAGTCGTCACAGGAGAACATCGTACAAAATGGACAATGGGTCCAACAATGTACAGACACGAACACTTCTAGAGAGTAACTGCTTCATGTGGGAAAATACAAACAAGACATGTTTTTTTTTTTAAACATTACTTATAGCAATGCGGTTGAGTGAGTAAAAGATGAAAACACAACAGTTTTTGGCCCATTACCTGAAAACGACATTAATATCAAACGGGTATGAGCTCCCAGTCTTCTCTTGCCATGTCGATGAACTCGGTGACACCATCCTCGAACATGACCTGGTGTCCGAATGGCAAAAGTTTTTTTTTTAAGGGAGATTATTTTATGTGGTTACAGACATCAACAAGTTTGGCCTTTGGCCTAAGTTTATACCGAATGCTTTCCCGAATACTCATCATAATGTCTGATGATGCCGAAACACCTGAAATTGTCAAAAATCATAGCGTAAAAATACATCAAATCTATGAGTTCTTCTGGCCATTATGTTGTTTTTTATGCAAGAGCAGTGAGATTAATCGAGAACATCTTGGTGTCAGATAAGGAAACATGCAGCAAAACAAGATGATGAATGGTACAGGAGTCCAAAATGTTTTGACAACTGTATCTATTAAGTTCAAGAATCGGTACCTCTGCCTCGTGGGTCGAGATAACCTGACCACCACGCCGATGCAATTACGGGGGCATATTTGCCCTTGGCTATGAGTGTTCCATGATTTTCCTGGAGGAAAGTAGGGACCCAAACTGCTTTTTCTTACCACCAAATAAGAGCCTCATTAGGGAATAGAGCCAAAGCATTCATACTGACCTGCATGTATACTTCCATTCTGATGCACCTGAGCAAAAATGCACAATAGTAAGTTTTTTGGGGTTATAACATAGGATGAATGTGAAATGCAAAGGAAACTGGACTGCAGATGACAAAAAATATCACAAAAGCACCAAACAGTGAAGACTGGAGGGAAATTACTATCAACAGGTGTGTAATCTTAGGAAATTCATCAAATGGAAAGACACAAAATAAACAAAGAAATAACTAAGTAATTGACAAGCCTGTAGCCACGAGTCATCCACATGAAACTGATTGGCACATCACCATAAGCATCTACAATCGTTTGGTCAGAGAAGTTTCATTTACCTTGGGTGGTGTCCGAGCCGCTTCTGCAACTAGGTTTAGGGCAGCATCAAAGTGAGTTTTAGGTTTGCTAGGTTTTACCCCAAGCTTCCTTCTGCAACCTACTGCACCACAATGGCAGTCTTGATCTGCACCAAATTGAACAAATCTGCTAAACTAATTAGTGTCACAATTAATTATTAAACATCATCATGGTGTTGATTTTGGTTTAAATATTATCAGATGTTTAAAACACCAAGGACTCGAGATAAATCAGCTATGATACAGAACAATGCAAACATCGATGCAGGGAAATGCTCTTACTGATAATCATAGGTCAAGTGCTGTCCCTTCTTTATGTCACGGGTTGCAAAAATGCCGATTCTCGTCTCACCATCAATTATCCTAGTGCAAAACAAATATACTTAAATTTTGTCACTTCACAACTGTACCAAACAGAAAAGCAAGAAAGAAAAGTGATGACAAACCATTTCTGCATCTCTGTATTAGGGTTGCAGCTATGGTTGATATATCGCGACTTATTTCCTTTGTGAGTAGCATCAATCACCATATCTCGGTTTATCTCGCACAAATAAAAATTTGTCTCACCCCGGTGTTTCATGTTCCAAAGTCTTCCTTCACAAGTCTTGTCATCGATAACTATGTCAACAAGTGAGAAATGTTTATAGATCGCACAAAAGTAAACACAACGATCAAAATGTATTTGAAACGGAAGCAAAACACCAAATAGTAACATCACCTTCCCCTACATACTCAATGATGAACTCTCCTTGTTTGACATCTTCGTCCGTCACAATCCCTGATCCACACTTTTCGGTCTGCAAGAAACAACTAATTCAACTAGCTTGAGACAACATTGTTTCCAAGCAAACTTGCAAATATTTACCTGAACTAACTTCATCTTCTTAACATGTCGCTGTTGGAACGGCTTGTTGAGGCACTCACTTCCACATTTGCATCTGCAACTGGAGGAACAGCTTGAGAATAGCATCCTACACAGAGCGAGCAACATTGGTATCCTAAAAGCATGAACAAAAGTCGCTTCTCTGCAAGACTGAAGTAGCATCCTACACCAACTCCAACTATTTGTGCCATATATTTTTCTCTAGAATGTATTTTATCATCAACAATCCAAAACAAAAAAATGAACTCTGGACAAATGCACAAACTGCGATCGAGAAAGCAAAAAACTATAGCATATGTGCAGCAGCAAAGCAAACTATTCTATACAACTAGAACTCAAATTTACACAGACCCGGGAAACTAAGGCAAGTGTAAGCATATGAAATTCTCAACGTAGCAAATGGAGCATACCCGCAATGGCAATTACTGCCACATACAGTTGAAGAATCCGGAGAAGGGGAGCAAGAACAGAATATGCCATCGTCCTCAAGCCTCCGCTTAAATTTCTTCGTCAGGTATATATCTTAACCCGCTGATGTGAAAACAATACAGAACTGAACAGAACAAGGCCAAGGCAGTAAAGTTTGGCAAACCGAAATTCATATGTTCGAGAAGAAAGGATACTGCGCCTGATGAAGACGTAAGGGGTAGGCTTCCCTTTGTTCAACCAATCCGGCAGCTCAAAATCCTCGGATTCCCCAATCTGCTTCAGCAACTTGCTGAACGCCTGTCCGATGTGATTTCGGTCGAAAATCTGAGAATAAAACCAAGATACTCCGCAATTTATGAACAGGAAAGAGAAGCAGAAAAACCGACGACGACTCTGATTGGGACAAACCTTCTTGGCCGCAGGCATGGTCTGAGGCCGGATTGCCAGGAACAAAACCGAACTCAAGGCACCAATTCAAGGAAAATAACAAGGTATTAAACCTCTTCCTATTCAAATCAAAGGACCATAGAATGAAGTTAGGCGAAAAACAGTGAGAAACAATGGCGGATCTGAGGGAGAAGAAGATGGAGCAGAGAATGAGCGGCAGTTTTTTTCCTTCTCTTTTTTCTTTTGGAATTTTGGAAATTGCGCCTAAATTGACAAGAAAGGGTAAAAGAGTAATCTTAATAGAAAAAAAAAACAGTGAAGCAAACTCACCTTATTATTGGGCCGCTTTTC